CAAGTCCACCACTAAACCACGTCCCTAAGCACCACGTCTACACGCCTTTTAAATACCTCCAGGGATGGTGACTCAGCCACTTCCCTGGGCAGCCTGTTCCAGTGCTTGACAACCCTTTTGGCAAAGAAATTCTTCCTCATATCCAACCTAAACCTCCCCTGGCACAACTTGAGGCCATTTCCTCTTGTCCTGTCGCTTGTTACTTGGGAGAAGAGGCTGACTCCCACCTGGCTACCCCCTCCTTTCAGGTCGTTGTAGAGAGCGATCAGGTCTCCCCTCAGCCTCCTCTTCTCCAGACCAAACCCCCCCAGCTCCCTCAGCCGCTCCCCATCAGACTTGTGCTCCAGGCCCTTCACCACCTTCGTTGCCCTTCTCTGGACACGCTCCGGCACATCAAGGTATGTCTCACAGAAGAGCGGCGGGAGGACATCTCATGAGCGAGGAGCTGCTGAATGCCACTAGACAGAGCGATCCCAGGAGATGGGTAAAAAGTCCCTGTGTACTATGCAAACGGCAGTTCTGTTGCAGCATTGGTGCTGTGATTTTCTTGCTGCCAGAGGTCAGAATAAAATCTGAAAATATTGATTGCTTAGTCTGTAGCTCAGATACTGTTTAAAGTCCCAGTGGCAGACTGGAGATTATACTGGAGGAGAGATCCTTATGGTATAACAAATTTTGCTCTGTTAAAATCGTAACCTAAATTTAAATGGACTGGCCTGGAGGCTTTTTTTGTGACGAGGGAGATCTCTGTTGCCTGAGAGCCAAAAAGTTCTTAGTCCAACCGCCCGCCCTTGCGTTACGCTGCTTAGCTGCATTTCAGATGTGTCCGTGGGCACTCGCCTGCTCTCTGCCCGGATTTCCAGAGGCAACATGTGCTGCTCTTAACTGAGCCTCTTAAAAGATCTAATCCTGAAATTATTTATGGAAGGTCAATATTTTGGGAACCGCTTGCCTGAAATCCTACCTGTTGTTGCTTTCTGAGTGCATACCTACGGTGATCAATTTTTAAACAGAAATGAAGTAAGCACTTGGTGTTTACTGTAAAGCGTCGAGTGAAGGGGAATACCAAAAAGGACTGCAAGTACGCTGAGGAACTCCGACTGGGAGCCCAACTCTGCAAACACAGGTTAGTTTTACTCAATAATATGAAATAATGTGACGGCCGCCTCTTCCATTTCAGGCAGAGCTTTATTTTTTCCCTTGTTTTTGAAATACTCCTTTGAATTGGATGTGGCTTTGCTGCGTGTATAGCTCTTGGGGAAAACAAATACCGTTCACTGGTTTTGATGGCAACAAGCTTTGGCAGATGGAAGGTCTTGGAGATGGCTGTGGCGGATTTTGGCAGTTCTGAAGTCCCCACTGAGGACTCTGGCTGAATGAATCCAGAAGGGTGTTCAAGTTCTTGTGGCCTCACTAATTGAGAGAGTATGTTCATCAACCCACAGGAAACTTCTAAGAGGGATGAAATATGGTAATTTATACTTGGTAACCGCCGTTCTTTTGTCATTTTTGCAAGCTTAGGAAGCTTCATCTCTTTTGAGCGGCCTTGGCTGGGGGGCAAGGATCTCACATGCGAGTATTGTAGGGGGAAAAAAAAAGCCCACAGAACTATGTCTGTAATAATAGAGTCATCCTGGGCAGTGTCTCTTGGCCCGTGTTCCACTGCCTAAAATCCCTGACCGCCTTAGGCCGGGATACCCTTAGGAGTGCCGCCAGCTTCCTGCAGCGCAGGAACATTCAGCACCTGCAAACTTTGCTTTTTTTTTTTTTTTTTTTTTTTTTAGTTTTCAGTGTGTCTCGTAAGCAAAGCCGGCTGCTTTTCGGTACAACCCTCTGTTCAGGATGCCTGTAATTTTGTTGAGATGTAGCTGTTTATAGTGAAGTTTCCCATACTAGATATGGATAGATAGGGACTTGAGCGTAGCTTTCCAGTACCTGAAGGAAGGTTGTCCTTGGCATCATGGACTTTCCTGTTCCTCCTTTGGGTGTAGGAAGAGGCTGTGGTGGTTGAAGTACTCCCGGGTTTTGATGCATGGTCCATAAGCAGCAAGCTCCTTGCTGGAAAGGTTGGCAGGAGCAAAACAAAGTCCTTCGAAGTCAGCAGGGGCAGTGGTGGCAAAGCCCAAACTGCACATAGCATCTGCTGGAGACCTTCCACATCAGTGGGGAGCTTGGTGCTGGTGGGGAAAGAAAACCAAGAGAGAAGTCTGGGACAATCACTTTTTCTTGTTTCCCGGTTGTTTCAGCTGTCGAGTTTAGTGGCTGCCAGGCAAATTATCCCGTTGCAGAGTGAGACACAGGCTGGGTGCTTTGTTTTGTTCGAATGCGCCTCAGTCACTTTTGGCCCAGCCTGAGGAGGGTCACGTTAAATGATGTGGTTTGTAGCTGGAGCCTTGTAATAGCTTGTGAGTGGCGGGATGTGTGTGTGTGTGAGATTTACTGTGAGGGATAAAGGTGCGCTGGAACTGGACTGGGCTGTGTCACTTGAAATCTTACAGTAGCGTCCCACTGTATTGGTCAGTCTATGTGCACAGCTGGTCTCGCTTTCCTTCAGCGTGTAGCCCAGCGTTAATGTGCTGGTTCGGCATTTTTGGTTGTGGAGGGTTGACCTTGGGGGTCAGATGTGCCCCCAGCTGCTCGCTCCTCCTCACCAGGACAGAGGAGAGTAGGCTAAAAAAGCTCATGGGCTGAGGTAAAGACAGGGAGATCGCGTACCAATTACTGTCACAGGAAAAGCAGACTTGAGGAAAATGAATTTATTGTATTGTCAGTCAAAATAGATTTGGGTAGTGAGAAAGAAAGACAAAAACTGAAACACCTCCCCCCAACCACGACTTTTCCCCAGTCCCACCTTCACCCCCTCACTCCTGACTCCTCTCCCTCTCAGGGGCACAGAGGGGGGGGCTGGGGGTTGCGGTCAGTCAATCACAGTACGCTCGTTTCTCCCTCCTCGCACATCTCCCTGCTCCAGCACAGGCCCTTCCTGGGGCTGCAGCCCTTCAGGGACACCCTGCTCCCGCCTGGGCTCTCCACGGCCGCAGCTCCTGCAGGAAATATCCCCCGGCGAGTTAAACAACGGAGCTGCCAGCTCTGGGATCTGGCTATTCCGCTGTGACTCCTCAGCACAACTGGGGTGATGGCCAGTGGTTTAGGGCTCTCCCATCCATGATTTGATTTATCTTGTTGCCCTCTACCCTGTTTACACTACAGAATTACCCTGCAGTTTTGTGCTAGAGTACAAATAGTGGGTTTTTTTTCCCCAAAGCGGGCGAGTACTAGACTCACCAAGCGTTGAGCAATGCCACACAACGTACATAGCCTACTGCAGGCCACCTCCTCCCCCCACACAGACAGCATTCAGCCCTCAGTTTCCCACCGATCTCCACGCACTTTTAACAATAATATTTTTTAAAAAAGCAAAACCACCCTTTCAACAATAGTGTAGTTCCGTATACCGACTTGGGAATTTCTCTAGGGATAAAGCATCACTTAGCACTCACTGCAGCGTTCCTGATACAATACAATTTTGATTTATGGCAACTTTGGGAAAATTTTTTATAGTGCCACATACTTTGATCTTTTAAAATAAGAAGAGCATTTCTAGTGTGGCTCAGTAGCTTTAGTCCTCTGCCAGTCTCTCATCTTACCTGCCTAACCCCCGTTTCTGCTTTCTTAGAACAAATCTGGAGCATGCCAGATTATGGAGTTGCTAGAGCTTTCTGCCTTGTGTTTTAGGAGCGGTTTAGTGTATTTGTGTCTTCAGCCTAAGGGAAACGGTTAGTATTGTCCTGACAGGGAGGACAGAGTTTCCTGGTAACTCTTTACCATGCCATCCACGTTAGGGTGTGCCTTGAGACATCTCCCTTCCTGACTGATTTAGGGCAGGTTGCTGCCCAGCCTTTTGGAAGGGGAGGTTTTGTTCCTTGTTAATGTTCCCATGCTTACTGGGGGCATTCTTCACACCCAGGGAGAGATCTTGGTCACTTCTCTCCCACTGACATTGTGCAAGTGTTAGTTGTGTATCAGCAGAGACTGCCTTAAATGGTGACACAGAGCTAAGACTCCCAAAGCAGACTCCATCTGGTTAGTATTGCTGATAGAGACTATTCAAAGCATCACTGAGGTTTTTGTTCCCCCTTCCTTCCTGGAAGGATGAACAGTGAGCACGCTAGGCTTGTACGCTGATGACGTATGTGACCGAAGCTGGAAAGAACTATAGAAAGTCTCTGCATCAATTGTCACTTTTCATACAAAACATTTATTTTAAAAAAGTTGCATATAAAGTTCTACACAGGACAGTTACCATTTGTCTAGTAAAAAAACAAAACAAAAAAAAAACAAACCTCAAAAGAAAAACAAATGAGAAAGTCCAGCTCTGTCACTCAAATGGTAAAAGGGTTGCTCCTTCTCAACAATCCACATCTAATAGACTTCAGTGTGCGTTCTGGTAGGGCACCATGGACAAACTGCAGAAGTAGAGTTCATTAGAGAAAAAGGTTCTAGATGTACATATTTACATCGTTATCTAATGCACATACTTTGTACCACCACTGCCGCAGAACCACATTAGCTCTTGGAATGGATCTCATCCTCTACCCTGTTTCTGTGCCGACATGGTTATTTAGGCTGCATTACAGAAGTAGCTCTTTTTTACAGAAGACTTTTTTAATGTGCTTGGTCTGCTGCTAACGCCCTGGCACTGTTCCAGAAAACTGAGGGAGGGTTTCATCGGCTATTGGCTCCCCAAGGAGGAAAAGGCTGAGGATAGTAGACGCTGCGTAAAACTCCTCCCCTCCCCTCCTCTTCTGCTCTTAGGAGAAACACAAACTGGGGAAGGACTCCCTTCTAGTCAGAGGGTGAAAGAGCTTTTGGACTGAAAGCTGCTCGTAAGACATTTTAAATGTGGACAATGATTGTCTGAAGAAGTAATTTTAAATAATCTGAGCAAGTTCTGCTGTCAGATTTATATTTGCTCTTCTTACCCCGCCAGGTTTCTGAGGGAAGAATTCCATTCTTCAATAAGTATCAAGTTCAATTTCTAAACTTCTTAAAGCAAAAGCAGATGGCTCAGTATATAAATATATCCAGCATCTGGATTCTCAGTCACAAAAATAACATCCTTTATAGAACAGAAAATGGATCAACTGTGAAGCAATTCTCCATTGGCCTTAAGATCCAACATCTTCATCAACGGCTTCATCTTCATCCTCTTCCTCCTCATCCTCTTCATCATCTTCCCCCACTCCTCCATCTTGCTTCTCTTTTTCAAGCATTTTTAAGTATTTGCTAGCTAGGATCTTCTTTGGCAAGATATCTGGAAGGTAGAATTGTTTCTTTTACAGTCAGTTTGAATACTTATATTGCCTCATTAATACTGCTCCATCCATACCACTAATGAAATGAAGTCAAAAAGAGGCTTTGTTAAAAACATTATCATTTAAGTGAACAACCAGGTAATTCAGTCTGACCTATACAGCTGTAAGAATAAGGGGGAATTACCCACTTATGGTACGAGTAACCAAAGACGAGGAATGTATTTTACAACTGATTACTGGCAACCATCTTTACTATCTGCTCACGTATGTTAATTGATGTAAAACTGAGTGCTCAACTACTCAGCTGCCTTTTAGACAGATTCAACAAGCCAGCTGTCCCATTTATGTCCTGTAGAAACAGTTTTACTCCATTAAGGTAAGATATTTGTTCAAGGCAGTAACGATGGACCCAAGATAAAGCAGAACTGTGTGGTCTGAAAGTATGTCCACAGGGAACTCGGTGGAAGACTGGGCTAGGACTATCTTATTCTCCACCTGTATCTTTGAGCTAAGCGTTACAACAAAAATCTGAGTAGCAGCAAAAAGCGTGTGCGCCCGCACACGTGTGTACACACATACATATAAAAGGAGAGAGGAACCACACGATGGATCGCTTTGAGAAACAAGACTTACAGATTTTAAACGTGTAATTTTGGGGCCACATAACTTCTCACATAAAGATGTGCAGTAATCTTGTTTTATAAGGTGAAAGCTTTCAGATGGAGTTGCTGGAATTTAAGAAATACTTCAGGCAATATGCTGAGAACTAACTAGCCTTGTGTAATTTTGAAGCACCAGAAAAATCCCCATTCACAAAGAAATGTTTTCAGTGATGTAGTTTACGAGTTCCAGCTGAACGTTATACAGGAGATTAATGACCAGCAGGAGAATTGTGTCCTTACAAAACAATTCAATAAGAGCAAGATTTCATTTTTCCGTACTACATACTGGATTTACAATCAATCACGCTATAGATACCTGCAAGGAACTGAAAGGTCTCACACTCTTCTGCAGTATGAGACAGGTCGCTGTAAGTTAGAGCGTTCTTCTCCTTGCCTCTGCCATGTTTGTAGGAGTATGTAGCCAAATACTGAACAAAAAGCTCCTAAAAAAATTAAAACAAAAGCAAAGGGTCAAACTATGAATTCACATGCATAGTTGGCAGCAGTATTCTTTAACCCCTACTTAAAGGAAAAGTCAGCGTATTTAACTGTACATGTAGTGGGCACTCTGTGCAGAGCCTCACTCATTTCAGAAAAGCTTAAGGTCAGGGTATGGTTGCATCTCCTGGAAGCACTGACCGCAGGCTCGGGTTCTGGTACGTAACTTAAATTTGGGCAGCTCCTCAACACTTTCCACAGCCCAGCAAGTGACACTTGGGATCCGAAAACAGCAGGGTTACCATTTCCACACGGCCCAAGCTATACTAATTGAGAGCGGTGGGAAAGAAGAACCTCCCGCATCGCTCGGGGAGACGCCTAAAGCCCCTCGTCGCCCCGCGGGGCCTGAGGCGCGGGGCTGCCCGGCCGCCGAGCGGCACG